CGGTGGCGAATAGGACGCATGCACGCCTTGGTCGATGCAGTCTTTCCGGCCACTAACCTTTGAGGCAACCAGACAATGCCGTTTCGCTGCTGCCTGCTGCTGAAAACCGCACTTGGAATGCGGCTGGCTCTCCTGCCGGTTGTAGGCTATCCAAGTCAATCTACTCTAATCTTTCTCCTCTCCCTTGTGTACACAATACATTCTTCCTACTACTCTGGCCTTTACTGACTTGTCTTCTACACTAAGCAGCCATGGTCTGAAGATCGCAGTTGCTGGGTTTGGCTCACTTAACCCCCTGCGATATGATCACAGCCGAACCAAGTACAAGCTCAAGGAGGTTGGGGTTGCTAGTGACGTTTTCCAAGGCTCCGCTTCTTGCCCCATTCTGTTTAGCGTCAGCGAACCGGATTGTGGTGCCACCAGTCTCGGCGATTATATGAAAACCTGTGGCGTCATCCATACTGCAGCCTTCGAAGAGCATTTGCAGGCACGCCTAAGTCGGTTCTAGTGATGGTTAAAGGACTGGCTTTAATTTAATGAAAACAAGCGCAACGTTCTACGAGTTGGCTGAATCCCCACTACACTGCTTAAAGGTTGCCAAATCTGCGATGTCGGTTCTGTACCTTGTCGATCCGGATATCCCAATCTTCAATGAAAACTGCTTCACTAAAAATTCCGAACCTTTGTGCGGCCGCAACTGCAGTTCGCTATCAACCTGGAAGACACTGCACGGCAAGTGACTCCAACATCCCCGAAATTATTCAAAGGCCTGCATCCAAATGTGTGACTGGGCAGGGCTCGTTACTCAATGAAACCCGTCTGTCTAATCTTGATCGATCTTCTTTGAGTTAGAGGCAGCTACGAGCTGACCCAAATACGAACACTTCACATCATGCGCACAATTGGAGGCACTGGAATCGATTGCTGAACAAAGATGGTTGTTCAACGAACACCTGTGACAACATCTTCAACGTACAAAGTTCCGTTCCGCGTTACCTCACGCAGCGCGAAGACACATCGACTGGTTCGTGGAGCCAAGGAGCCGCTGGACTTGCCCCATATTTCCCTACCACACCTGCTCCATTTTCCTTACCTAATCCTGCCCCCACCAACCAACCCTAACTTATCTGATGCCAGTGATATTCGCACAGCTCGTGGCGGTCGTCGAATCGACTTTCCCGACCACTTTATCACTCAAGTGTTCCAACACTGGCCTTCGGCACCCGGTCCTTCCCCACAACTGCGGCGTTCTTCAAGTGTCTGTCTTATCCTCTTACTTCTTCTCCTTCCACGCTGACGACTTCCGGTCGCCAACTTAATGTTTTTATGTAATATATGCTGATAATTGGGTTGTTCGTCATCCGCTAGAAAGGCAGACACATCTCTGGGTTCCAAAAAATGGCCTGGATTACGCCTTAGCATTGTCGTTAGTGCGTCCTCTGATTGCGATTCTCTCCCAATCCTGAAGCATTAGACCGCCTGTCCAATAGGGTATCGCTTTTCCGGTACTTTGGCGTTATCCTGACACGGAGTCTTTCCTTTAATCATCATACTGAAACTCTCTTCATTACAATTTGTACATTTTGATACTCTATCTGTCAGTTAGGTTGATATCAGACACCTCAAGCCATACTCTGGTGCCGTATAGATAAATACATTCCCTCTCATTGCCTACTGGCCTCCAGTTATTTTTCCAGTCTTGCTCAAGAAAGACTTCTTG